CAGCTGCCTCCCCCTCCCTGGAGGCTGGCTCTCCCCTCATCAGTCTGTTGAACCCAGCTACTCCTTAAGGTTCTCTCTGCTGGAAGACTTAATTGTCTCTTCCTTTGCGTGTCTCCTAAGATTTCTCGTTTGTCTAGCACCTGTTGTACTATAATTTCTCCAGGTATGAATCCCATTATATTTTAAGTCACTTGTGAACAGGAATGGAGTTTTCTTAGTTTTAGATCTTCCCACCACTTACCAAGAGGCCTCTGAGCCCCACTTTCCGCATCTGTACAGGATGGTAATTCCTGACTCAGTTGCTATAAAAGGCCTGGTATGTTGGGTACATTGGTAGGTTTGAATCTCAATAAGGGACAGTTTTCTTCTCCTGAAGACAAACTGAAGGAAGTCTCCTTCTAGGAGACTAGGCCCTGCTTACACATGAAGGGGGACTTTCTTGAAAACATAATAGCCATCTGGAGAGTGTAGTTCCTACTGAGGGGGCTTGCTGCTGAATTTTTCTTGTGATGCTTAGGAAGTGAATGGCTTTTTTTGTTCAGCCAAACTGACGTGCTCTGGCTTTGGGGTGAGTGGAACACAGAACTTGAGGCTGGGTGGGGCCCAGTGGGGGATGGTTTGGCACAGCCTGGTTGGTGGGCAGGGGGAAGGCTTCGAGAGGTCAGAGATATCCTCCCTTTCAAGCCTTTGGCTTTGGGATGAGAGTATGTAATCACTCCCCAGAAATCACAGACTTGCAATACAAATTCTGGCACCCACCACTGCTTTTTTATCTAGCTGTTTGAGATGGGTAGGGGCTAAAGGCAGGGCCCAAGCTAGATACCCTTGGAAGAGGGAAGAGAATGGAGGCTGGCTGGACTTGTTCAGTGACATAAAGGAGGACACTGCCTCCCTCCTTTCCTCTCTCCTCCTCCCTCCTCCACCCTCCTCCTCCCTCCCTCCTTCCCGCCTTCCTCCTCCCCTTCTCCCTCCTCCCTTTCCACATGGTAACAGAGACCTAAGAGGCCTGATGATGCCTCTCACAGGCCGCCTGTGTGGTGTAATCCTTGATGGATGGGTCAGTATGTCAGATGACATAAGATCCAGCGTGCCCTTGGTTTAACCATGTTCTTCATTTTGAAGTCTTGATATTGGTGGTGTTTGGGAAGTAGGCCTGGCTCTCCTCCACAGCTCTGCACCCTGTGGGTGGATGGTACAGATCAGAAGGTGACATAGGGAAGACCCTGGGGAGGCCTGTGGCAGGGCCACTCCAGCAGAGCCCCGCGGAAGCTGCCCAGCTCAGGTTTCCCTGGTCCAGGATCCCCAGCGAGGCCCAGGCCCTATTTTGAGAAACAGTTCCTGAGGAGGTTATCAAGTGTCATATTTTCAAAGGAGAATTAAAGGCACCCGCGCTTAGCTCTTAGCCCAGAAACTGTTCATATCAAAACAGGCTAATGCACGGCCTGTTTCTGCGAGTATTTTCACGTCTTCATTTCTCTCTGCTGTTTCTGTGAAGGTGTCTTTGATTATAGAATGTCAACCTAGATAAAGTGCCATTTTCATTTATTTTTGGTGGTGAAAGTTCTGTTAACAGAGGCAGAAATAAGATTGCGAGGTGATTACATTTGAGGTACTAAATAGAGGGTTTAGCTGTTTTTATAGCAAGTATACACGAGTTTGTTTGCAGGAACTTCTCGAATGTAATGAAGTAGAAATCAGACATTCTCCAGGAGACACTAGACAAGGGGGCATCACGCGGATGGTCCTTTCTCTGAACCATGATTTTATGAGTCTGTGGCCTCGAGTGAAGGGAGTTAGGTCCATTTTCCTGAGAAATTCTCTGAGCTCTGTTCTGTTCCCATCAGTTACTGGCTGTGTTGAAAGCTGGCTTGTCAGATTTCACTGCTTTTCGGTTATTTACAAAAGTGAATAGAAGTAGAGTGGGCTTATCAGCAGGCACAGGTGCATTTCAGAGTGTGTGGCATCCTATCTCACTTATTGCTCTGCAACTTTTATCTTAGGATTCCCACTCAGTTTCATTCTTTTTTTTTTTACTCTCTGCTAGAAGGAACTTAATACGTCCCTGCTCCTTTTCTCCCACTGATGGGAAAAAACATAGTGTGCCACCTGTTGAAAGAAAATCACTCTGTGATTTCCTCATCCTTCTGGGTCTGTTGCCCCTGTTCTGCCTGTGACGGGAGGCTTCTTGGTTTTCTTGCACCTTTCCAGTTCTGTTAGTGAGTCAGCGGGAAAGCTAGGTCTTTTGAACTAAAATCAATGCTAATTTGGCCACATGTCTTCTTGGATGCTCATGTTAAGCCAAGGGGTTGTCTGTTGCTACAAATAATCAGATGTTTGTTATACTTCCAAAATATGATTAAACTGCAAAGAATTTCATTTTAATTAACGTTTCCTTCTGGCGTGTCCAAGAACTTAATTGCCGTTAGTATTTCTCTTGTCTTCTCTCTGTGTAATCGCCTGTTGGTCGTTGCCACAGTGATGCGACGTATAATCAGTCCTGATCATTCCTGTAATCCTCTTATTATTTACGCCGTACTCAGTGACCTCACGCACAGCTTCCCTGGTAGTTTCATGGGATGTGGATACTAAGGGCCAAACAGCTCAGGAAGAACTTTAATACACATTTAGGAGAAAGTCATAAAGGTCACTGGCTGTTCTTTTCTTCAGGAAATAGGAATGTGAGCCGTGCTGCCACATCTCGGTTTAGGGACAAGTTGGGATAGGCTTCTGCTCTGCCCAGCTTTCCAGGTCTCAGTGTGGCTCCTTTTCCATTCTTCCAGAACCATAGCCAGGAGGGTCCTGGGGAATTCTAGGTGCTGCCCCCTGCCCCCTCATGGTCTTCCAGAGAAGGGAGAAGAGAGAAGCTTTCTTGTGTGATGGCTCTTTACTTCCCTTTTTTACTATTCTCTCTTCTTCCTTTCTTTTATTGGGCCGTTTGCATCTTTGACCAAGAAGATGAAGATATGCAGACCATTTATGGAATGGGCTGGACTCAATGGATCATAGTTATTTCTCTGCCAATTCTCTCACCCTGGATTATGTCTCAGGCAGGTCCCAAAGCCTCTAGTTCTGTATCATCCACCAGAATGGTCTCATCCCTCAGATGTTAAGTTCAATTTCATTACCAGCTGAAGCTTTCCCCTTCTCACTCTGCCTCCCCCTTGGAGCCAACCACACACTGCTGGGAAGGCTGCTGCTCCATCCACTCTCTCAGATTCCTCTTTAGGGCTCCATGGTGCTGCTTCTGTGGCCTGGGTGGGGATGCAGACAGTAAAGGAAAGAGCCAACACTGTCCTTTGTGGGTGCTCTCTGTTGTCCCGTGCTGCTGGTCAGCATGATCTCTGGTGCAGCAGACCCCTGATGCCATGTCCTCTTATGGGGTTCATTTGTGAGTGTCTAGGAACTTCCACCCTTCAGCTCCTGTGCCATGGGTGCCCACAGCCTCTTCCAGCTCAGCCTGGCCCTGGCTTGGCCCGGCAGGCAGTCTTTTCGTTTAGGTTCCTTTGAAAGTTTCTCAGGTTGGCTGAGCACTACAGAATCCACCTGCCTCAAAAACTTGGCATTCTCAGGTTCCAACCAGTGGGCCTATGATTTACCCACTGCTGATCCTCTCTACTGCCTTACTGACCTGGACAGCTCCAGCCAGTCACCCTCCAAACTTGTTAGGCAGGAACCAAGCATCGGTTTCGGTTCCTCAACTTCCCCCAGCCTGTGGGACCCATGTCACAGTGCTCCCGGGTGGCCCCAGGCCTGCAGTACTGCAGCTCCATGATTGCCCACCTCCAGCCAACCCAGCCCTCTGTGTGGTTCTCCGGGAGTCCCCTACCTGGCTTGGAGGAGGAGGTGAAGCAGCAGGTGAGGGAGGGGGCATGATGATGCTCCTGTTAGCTTGACGTGCTGGCCATGGACACCCTCCATTTCCTTGTTGGCCTCCAGTCTTCTTTTTCATATCCAAGGGAGGAAATGGGCAACAGGCAGGATTTCCTCTATGGGAGGACCTGCAAGGGAATTTCTAGCATCTGGAACATGGGATCCTTGTCTCAGCTTTGAGGCTTCTCTGATGTGTAAGAACAGAATTGTCCCATTCTGCCCTTTGTCACAATAGTTACTATCTGAAGGCTCAGATGCCAGGCGCAGTGGCATGGGCTTTATAAGAATGAAATCACTTAATCTTTCCATGAGCTTAAGGTTTGAGTGTTGTCCCATTGTATAGGGGATGAATGGAGCCAACAGGAGATTCAACACATTGTGTAAGTTCACTCGCTGGGTATCAGTGCCGCGAGGTGAACTGGTGGGTGTTATCCTCTCTCCCTCCTGCTCCTCTAAGTTACCCGTTTAACTCCCACTCTCACCAGCTCCACTTCACAGTCAAGTCAGGTGACTTTGCCTCCTCCCTTCCCTCCTTCATTCATCCACTCACTGGTGAGAGATTCACAAGTGGAGATAGGCTGCAGGGGAGAGCCCTCCCTGTGTGCAGACCACAAGGTTCAAGCAACAGCAGCATGGGTGATGTTGGGGCATGGTGGAAACAGCATCGGGATAAAGCATCTCAGGCAGAGGAGTTTGAGAATAATCCAGTGGGCAGTGGGGACGACTGAGGTATTTGCATCAGGGGGTGGTTGTGTGGAGATGTCCTTGAGGAAGATTATTCTTAGCCCATGCAGATGGGACTCAAGAGGGGGTGGGGCAGGTGAAGGAGGAGATTCCTTAAGAGTCTCCAGTAATAGTCCAGAGGAGGGGACAACAGCCTGAGTAATGATGGAGCAGGGGCCATGGAAAGGGGGATACAGGTTGGAGCCTGGCAGAGTTGGAACCAGATTGGCATAGCTGTTAGACTATTGGGAGGAGGAGGAATAGGAAGAGGAAGATGAAAAGCAGGAGGAGGAGGAGGAAAGGGAGGAGGGAAAGGAAGAGAAGGAGGAGGAGATAACAATGAGGTAGAAGGCTTGGCAAACAGTGAAGTCATTGCCCGAAACGGAGAGGTAGTGGTGCATAGACAAGCTCTTCCCTGGGCTTGTTATGGCCTAGAAACCAGCAGATGACACAGTCTCTGGAGATTGTGAGAGCGAGTCGATGGCAGGGTGTGAGTGTGACCTCCATGCAGTGAGGGAGCTCAGAAGAGGCTGGTGTCTTACGGGGGGGTAGCTGGGAGGCAGCACACTGCTTGCCTCCTAGAGCTGTGCTGGACTGGCCAGGCCTCTGCAGTGGGAGAGGGAGGTTGATCAGAACTCTGGGAGCTGCTGGCCAGGGAAGCAGGTAAGTCTGGTGGCACTACAGCTCACACAGACCAGACTGTGGGGGCAAAAGGGGGAAGGGCCTTGTCCTGATAGCCAGGTCCCCTCATCGCCAAGCCTGCTGTACCCTCACTGGAACCTTTGAGTGGTTTGGACGAGAGGCTCATAGGCGTGTCTGTCTGCTGGCCTTATCTGTTGGGCAACATAGTTTGTAATCCTGTGACAGTGGTATTTGGGAGAAACTGAATATGGCCTTCAAGCCTGAAAAACCGCACTACCTCATGGAGACTGGCTGCAAGGAAACAATGAGCTTCTGGTCCCATAGTTTTTTGAGGTGAAGAAAGGAAAATTAAAAGCTCTTCAGGAAAGGGAGGTGGTAAATCATTCCCGGAAGATGGCAAAGATTGCTCCTACCGATTCTACAAGTGGTTAGTTGCGCAAGACTGGTTAGCTGAGTTAAAGGTCTGACTTGTCTGTAGAAGACCAGACCTTCTCCCACAGGGGACAGTGCATTGCCCACAGGGGCCCACTCCGAGAAGGTCATGGATGAGCTTAGTAAGAAAGAAGCAGGTTGCTGCTGGCATCCTCACTGAAGAGGGTGCTCGGCTCTTCCTCCCTGAAAACTCTTCTTTTTAAATTTCCATTTTTCGGATTTAGAAGGTTTGTGGCTTTGCACAAGTGAACTAAGGCAACTTGTGATTTTGTTCATTGGCCATGCACGCAGCAGCGAACATCTTGGTGACTGCAGTCTGTGGGCTTGCTTGGGAGGAAGCCCTGCATCAGGTGGCACCTTTATTAATAAGTCACTAGGCTGGTCGTATCAGAGGTCTCTGCTTGTTCTCACGGCACTGCTTTGCCTCTCAGCTCCCAGTCCAGGGAAGATCTGGGAACGGGTTCTTTCCTTAGCTCCTAGGACTATACTGGCCGAGCATAGAGAGTCCCTGCTCTCCTCGTAGAAGGACAAAGCTAGCCACTCAAGGCAAGGACAGGGGCAGGGGACAGCTTGGGATGTATGCAAACATTGCCAGGTGGTTTGAGAATCAGTAAGTTTTCTCCTCTGATCTATTTCATTTAATTTGATAAGAATGTTCAAACCTCAGTAGACTAGCCTTGCTTATGTTTTGGAAGGAGAGATCCTTTTTCTGCAACTTTCAATAATGCAGTAACTGTTATTATCTGATACTTGGAGCTTGCACTGCTCTGCTCAGCTTCATTGTGGAGTATTTGCCAATAGTTAAATGATCCGCACCTGCGGATCTTTGCTCACTTACTGGGAGTTGGGTATTAGCTGTGGGATTCAGCTCTCAAGTGTTCCTCTTTGAATATTTACTTGATGTGTGCTGAGATATCTGCGTTCCCACATAACAGGCCCAGTTTAGAGTTTGGGAGTGTTAGGGATCTCTTTTGTGAGTATGACTTTGAGAATCCTATCAAGAAAGGTAATCTTTTTATGTTGAATTACTGAAAGCTTCCCCAACCCCAGGTCAAAACTGTGAAATTCTGTTGTGAGTAGGATTTCTTAGTTGGTTTTGAATGCATTTCCTGCATAACTGAGCTTTTATTGGGCATCTTTAGGAGCTAGCTTCTACTCTACCCTCATGGAGACAAGGCTGTTTTTTTTTTTAAGTCTCAAAGAGTAAACCTGCTAATAGTAGTAAAAGTAATGGTAACAGCTTCCAGTCATTGAGCGCTGCTTACATACCAGTGCCTGCAAGAAACTTCCTTGAGTCATCTCATTCAATCCTCACATTAACCCCCTCAGATAAATACTGAGATCTCTTTGTTCAGCTCTTGGGGAAACTGAGGCTTACAGATTATAGTAACTTGCCCAGATAAGGTCCCCTGCTGGAGGATGCACAGCTTGGCAGTGTCTTCACTGGATTTGAACTTACATCTTTCTGACTCCCAGTGTGTTCCTGGGGCTGGTGGATGCTTTGCAGTTATAAAAGGGTGTTCTGGGCAGAATTCCAAAAGATGGTGCCTCTGTGTTGCCCTGAAATGGGGCATTTTTATGGGGAAAGCCATTCCCCTGGGTTTACTGGAATAATGTGCTATTGCTGTCTTTATGTTTGAAGTTTTGTTTTCAAAGACAAAGACAGTAGGGAAAATATCAGGGAAACTTTCCTCACTTCTCTTTTATGAGAAGGAATTCTTGTCTTAGAAGGAGCATTGCCCTGATCTTGGAGGTGCTGAACTCTGAGAGGAGGTATGACAGGGATTCTAACGTGGGATCCCCCATCACGCACAGTGGTTTGCAGAAATGGTGTGCGTGTGAAGGTGCCTCTGTGCATCTTGCCTGGAGAGAGGATCCACACCCTCATCAGATCCTCAAAGGAGTCCCTGACCCTATAGGCATTGAGAACCCTGAGGACTGCCCCGGGCACTGGCCCAGCTCAGCCACCTCCCTGACATCAGCCCTGGGCAATTCCTTCCATCTCCCCAGGACTTTGCCTCTTCTTCTGCATTGCTCTCTTGCATGAGGGTATTGAACACAGCCCCCATGATTCGTGTGAACTGTGAGGAAACTCGAGCGCTGAATGAAGTTCTTGGGGCTATAACTCTACTTAGAAACAAGGCTGGGCAGACCCCACATCATAGCAGAGGGCTCATCTCTACAACTGTGTGCCAGAAACATTCACCAAAGGTTCATTCATTCAAAGGCACTTCCTGATCTACTCCTTCGCATCACAGCTGCCACCCCAGGGCATCAACATTCTAGCACACAGCACAGAACATGGATGTTTCAATGTCAACCTGCCGGATGCCCTGGGGTTCTTTGTGTTCAAAAAATAAGCAGGAGAGGGACATTGGTGCATAATGGCTAGGGTGGCATCATAGATTCAGAAAGACCTTGGCTGGTATTCTGGTCTTTCCAGCTGTGTGAACATGAGAGAGTTCCTTAACCTGTTGGAGCCACAGTCATCCCATCTGTGCATTGGGGAGAGTAAACCTACATATGACGTTGTTGTGAGGATTGAATATATGCGAAGTGCTTCACACAGTGGGTGTCATTCACTTTGTCTTAGTTGCTCACAAAATCGGGCAGTGACATGGCAGCTGAACCCCAGCAGGGATGAACTCACTCACTGAGACAGCAAGCAGTTGCTGAGTTACTTCCCTGGTGATGAACAAGAAAGTCTTGATCCCTATTCTCTTAGAGTTTAGGTCTAGAATCTCAGCTAGTCATAAACAGCCAAACAAAAACTTGTGAATGCAAATTGGGAGAAGCACTGTGAAAGGAACTAGCAAGATGCTCTGCTGGAGAATGCTGGGGGCCTAGAGAGGAGTTTGGGGAAAGGCCTTTCTGAGGAGTGCCCGTTTCAGCTTGAGTCATGGAGGATGGGGAAGAGTCAAGAGGAGGACAGCCTGTACAAAGGCCTCAACAAAAGAGTGCTTGCTTCTTCAAGGTGTGAAAGGAGGGCGTGTGGTAGGATCATAGTGGGCGGCAGAGCTGAGGCTGGTGGGTAGGGGTGGGAATGCTAAGGTCATGGAGGCAATTACAAGGACAAAGAAGAGTGCTGAAGGGTTTTAGGCAGGCACTTGATACATATTGTGATTTATGTTTAAAATGATAGGCTGGATGCAGAATCTATCAGAGGAAGCAAGAGGTGAGAGGTGGGAAGGAGCCTCTGGAAATCCATGGGGATTATGAGGGGGATTTTGTCTAATGAGTGACAATTTCTTCATTTTGCTTTTAATTGGGATTCCATCTAAACTGCTCCAGAACTTTCTAGAATGTCCCTCAGTTGAGAAGTGAGTCCCTTTAGCAGCAGTGTCCCTTGCTGTGGGCCTGGTGGGAGGAAGGATATGTGCCCTCAGTCTGTGGTTGTTGCTCCCATATTAAGGACAGTTGTGAAGACCACTTACTTTTACCTGCTCCGGTTGCCTCCATTGGATTTGTTTTTCCCTCATTTCTAACCAAAAAGCTTTTGAGGTCTGATGTCACTCTCCTAGAATTTTATTATCCATGAAAGGATAAACAGAAGGATGTTATTGGTCACAGCAGAAGGCCTGGCTTCTTACTGATGTCCAGAGATTGCCTGGACTTCACATACCCAAACACTTGATATGTTTAAACTTTCATTGAATTTCCTTAGAAAATTGTAGCTGTATCTTGCAAAAGTGAAACTCTACCACCTAGATAAAATACATTTATAAAGGAAAAACTGGTGAACTTCTTTGGTCGTGCCACCCGTTTACTGGGCATGACCCTGAAGCAAAGGGTAGTCTGCAGGACCCTCTCTAAAATCCAGATCTCAAGGTGTGGCTTCTGAGTGGGCAAGGCCAGGGGGAGTCACACAGAGGAAGGAGCTGATGGCCGAGGAGCAGCGCCAGGGGCACCCCTGCCCCCAGCCTACAGGCGCTGTGTGACGTGGTTGGCCACGTGGGTGATGCTAGTGTCCCACTGCATAGGACGGGAGGGGCAGGGAGAAGATCCTGCTTCTCTCCACGGGAGTGTTTGACATGAGTTCTGAGAGGAGGTCTGGCTCTGTGAGGGGGCCTAGGTCTGGTCAGAGCTAAGTGTGCTCCTCTCATGTGGGCGTATCCCAAAAGGCTCTGGAGTGTTCTCACAATCTCAGCTGCCACCGTGACGGTGACCCAGGAAGCAGGCGGTCTTCCTCTCTTCAAAGCTGTAACACTCTTCTGGAAGACAGACATGACCTGCCCAGTTTGAGGTCAAATGGGCCACCAGAGAGGGATCCAGGGTCCAGGGAGTGGAGAGGAGGCTCTGGGGGCAGGCCCTGCTTGTCCCATTCTCAGAAGGTGCTGGGGCGCGAAGGCCCTTCCCTTCACACACACGTCAGGTCATGCCTGGCCATCAGCGGGGTGACTGACAAATGCCCTGCCCGCCCCCTCCCATTCATGTGTCTAGCTGGAGATGATCTAAAATAGCTTCAATGAGCAGCAACAAACACCTGATGAGTCGTGGGACTGCAGTCTAACTGCCCATCTCAACACTGAGCAGTGTAGGGACTCGTTTTAAAATACAGACCAAAAAAAAGGATTATGACCTCTTTTATT